TCGAGCAGACCGCGGGTGGACACTCCTGGATGGGCGGTACTAGAGTGCATGTTGATGTTAGAATATAACTGCCATTGTGTGGTACGCCGAGGCCTCGTCTGTAAGTCACACGTTTGTGACTTACAGACGAGGTCATTAGGTCTTTAGGTCTATTTTTGAAGCAAATATTGGTACAACAGTGAAGTCTTTTCGGTTATCTTTGAACTGTTGCCTTTAACCTTTTCCTACCATGTGCTTCTTGGCTTCCTCTCTCTCACCCTCTTCTTTCCTTCTCCTTTTTACCTCTCTTCTTCCCCCTCTTCCCCCAACTACTTGGGCTGGACGGTAGAGCGACGGTCTCGCTTCATGCAAGTCGGCGTTCAATCCTCGACCTTCCAAGTAGCTGGGCACCATTCCTTCTCCTCCGTCTCATCCCAAATCCTTATCCTGACCCTTTCATAGTGTTATATAGTCGTAATGACTTGGCGCTTTCCCCCTGATATTTCCCCCTCTCTTCCCTCACCTCGTCTGTCTCCTTTTCTCTACTTTCTCTCCAACACCTTTTCCTCTCCCAAGGAGTCATGGATGGTCGGTGTGTGAGAGGTCTGCCGCCGGGGCCCTGGCGGTCACCAGGTCAAACCCACTCCCCAGTTCCTTCACCTCTCCCTCCTCTCTATCGACGTCCCTCTCTTCACCCCTCTCCCTCCTCTCTATCGACGTCCCTCTCTTCACCCCTCTCCCTCGTCTCTTCTACCTGATTCCTATCATTTGCAGTTCCCTCCGTCAGTATCAGACGGCTGCCACACTTGTCATTTTGACTTAGAGGGAGAAAAGGGGAAGCGAAAAAGAAACAACCCGGAGGGAGAGGGGAAGAGAGGCCAGAGAAAGAGAGGAGAGGAGAGAAGAAGCATGTGCCAGGTCTCCTCTCCACTGCTTGGTATCAAACCCAGACACCTTAGTAACTGACAAGAAAGAACCAAGTCATCATGGCTATTTTGCACTTGGAAGGGATATGAGGACAGGGAGCAAGGATAGGACAGGAAAGGAAACCAGCTACATTGACCATCAGTCATTGAACGGCGACCTGTATGGAGCGAGGCCTTCGCTGTACCGACCAATCCAAGGAGCGCGAGAGTGGTATCAGAGGTTTGAGCCCCCTACAGGGATCACCGCAGCTGTCGCCGGCTGTTCCCTAGGAATCTACATATGGGAGAACATGTCCAGAGTCTATAGAGAAATCCAATAGGCTCAAGAACGCACGATATCTATCCTCGGCAAAAGTAAAATCCTTGTTTGGTTTCCAGCAAACAGGTATTTGTTTAGTTGTGTGTGTGTGCTCGCGTTCATGTGTGTGCGTGCGTGATTTCGTGTGTGCGTGCGTGATTTCGTGTGTGCGTGCGTGCGTGTGCGTGATTTCGTGTGTGTGTGTGTGTGTGTGTGTGTGTGTGTGTGTGTGTGTGTGTGTGTGTGTGTACACGTGCGTGTGAGAACCTTGCACACCTTAACCCCTACGTCAGTCTTTACCACATCTTTCTGAAACTCTTAATGAAAGTAGTTCCGGTGAAGTTTTAGCCATTCAGGTTATTTTTTGTTTGGAAAAGAGCGCCTTTTCTTGACCGCCAAAAAAATACGAAATGAACAAAAAAAAAAGATAGAAAATGGTCCAGATATTGAATTTAGAGAGATTTTCTTGGTTAAGGAAATTTTTCGAAAGGTGTATTGGAGATGTGGGGGGGGGGGGAGATTTCAGATTCCAGCTACGCATGCGCATTGCATAACACAATTGTTTGGCTTTCCCGCCATCTTGCGTGACAAGGGCACTGTGTTCTCCTTGTATAAAAATATATGTAATACACACAATACACAGTATAAGAGGGTACAAAGCGGTCCGTATGTCTGTCTCTTCCATCTCTCTCTGTCTCTCTGTATGTCTCTTCCATCTCTCTCTGTGTCTCTGTATGTCTCTCTCTCTCTCTCTCTCTCTCTCTCTCTCTCTCTCTCTCTCTCTCTCTCTCTCTCTCTCTCTCTCTCTCTCTCTCTCTCTCTCTCTCCTAGCAAGCCCTGAAACCCCTCCTCATCTGAAAGTGTAATTGGAAGGAAAATCGATCTGACTAAAGCCGTATCACAGACACAAAGCCCGATTATGGCGGGAGAGAAGCAACTGAGGAGGTGGTAGTGGTGGTACTGGAAGAGGTGGTGGTGGTACCGGAGATGGTGGTAGTGGAGGTACCAGAGGTGGTGGTGGTTATGGTGGCACTGGAGGAGGTAGTTTTGGTGGTACTGGAGGTGGTGGTGGTATTTGGGCTATTGGAAGTGACTCCTTAGAATTGATGTATAGTTTGTTATACCCCGCCTAAGGGCCTTGTTGTACCTGTTGCTTTATAATTGGCCTATTCCGACGATCGAGTTCTTTGTTGGATCTAGCCCAAACGTTGTGGATGGAGGTCCACAACTACGTCGTCCAAGGCCTCCATCTGTTGCCCAACTGTGCGCATCTTCCCCCCACATTTCTTAAAACTAGTTTTAACTATCTGCGTTCATCTACGTCCCATTTACTTTAAATTTAACGAGGCATTACTTTCCCTCTTCTGTCTTTAGTATCTCGTATGTAGTGATCACTTCTTATCTCCTCTAGGTTTGTGATATCCAGTTAACCTGTCCTCGTTTAATCTTAATATATACACTAGTCCTGTTGCAAACTTGTTTACTTCAAGTTTAGTGTTGAGCTTCACAAGGTGCGGATCCCAGACCGGTGCTGCATATTGGCGCACTGTCTTGCTAGAGCCATTATTAAGGCTTGCCAGCCTCCCATATACTGGCGATGTTAACCCTGTGTGAGCCTCTGGTGGTGACACTCGAATTAACATGCATTCGCAAGAAAGGGGTGAATGCAGGGACGGAAGGAAGAAGGCCCTGAAGGAAGAAGGCACGGAGGGCAACTGGATACTCAGACACCATTACTAAACCTCAGAGAGCAGACGGAAAAAATAAGATAGTGGACACGAAAACAACATTCCCCAGCAAACAACAGAAAAAGACCCAAGCAGGAATATGAGGCCACAAACAAACCCTGCATAGATGAACTGTAAACAGCAGCAGCAGCACAGATTTATCCACCTATTTCACAGAGAAATAGATTGGGAATCGGCATAATAGGGGAGAAACGTAGGGAGGAAAACTAGTGGAAGTTTTGAAGAGGAGCTTCGTAACACTTCTTGCCAAAAATGACACAAAAGAAAAGGGTGATTCACGTGGCCTCCTGCATCTGGAGCCAGATTCACGAAGCAGTTTCGCAAGTACTTACGAACGTGTACATCTTTCCTCAATCTTTGACGGCTTTGGTTACATTAATTAAACAGTTTACAAGCATTAAAACTTCCCAGTCAACTGTTGTTATTGTTATAAACAGCTTCCTGGTGCTTCGGAGCTCATTATCTGTTTAAATAATTGTAAACAAAGGCGCCAAAGATTGAGAAAAGATGTATAGGTTCGTAAGTGTTTGCGTAACTGCTTCGTGAATCTGACCCCTGATCTTCACCAATTGTGTGACCATTGTGTCTTGGTTTATGCCTGTAAGTTTGGATTAAAAACAAAAGATATTAATCAAAGGGTCAGAGAAAGGAGAGTAAAGGAACGGTATTTACTACATGCAAGTAGGAGCGTACTTGAGAAATTTGTAATCGACGGTAGAACTTGTGGGAAAGGGAAGGATGTTTGCAGAGGATGCACAGTTAACCAGAAGAGTCGAAATGGTTGAAGATTGTTGGATACTCAAAGATGACTTAGGCAAGCTGCAGATTTGGTCTGATAAATGGCTACTGGATTACAACACTAGTAAATGTAATGCGATCAAATGGTAACAAGGGTCAGGAAATCAAAGGGAAAAACTACCTCCTAGTACCGAACCGAAAAAAAAGAGCTAAGAGTGGATATAATACCAAGCCAAACTCCGGAGGCATAT